GCAGGGGGAGGCGGCGGGCCCCGGAGCAGCGGTGGAACGAAAAGCGCAGAAACAGGGGGACCAGGGGACACACACACACACACACTGGCACCACCAACACACCTACACACCCACATACACACCCACCTACAAACATACATACGCACGTACGTAATATTTACATACATACGAGAGAACGTGTTTCACGGGCGGTTGCCTTGGGAACGTTCGGCGGCGCGTTTCGAACCGAGCGGGCCGCCCCCCCCACAACACTCGGCGCCGTCGACAAGAACCAGAGGGACTCCCCTCCCCCCCTAACCCCCTCCCCTCCCCCCAACCCCCCCGCCCTGAAAAGGTGGGGGGTTCAAACCCCCTCCTCCCCCGGCGCCGGCGCCGGCGCTGGAGGCGGCCAGCAGCGCCGACGGCGGGGACGCAGCAACGATGACCAGAGAGGGCTCAGGGAGGGGAAAGAGGGGGGGGGCGGGGGATCCGAACCCCCCCCCCTGGCGCTGGCGCCTGCGCCGGCGCTGGCGGCGGCCAGCAGCGCCGACGGCGGGGACGCAGCGACGATGACCAGAGAGGGCCAAGAGGCCGCAGAGGGGAAGCACAAATCGCCATATCGAGCCCTGGCCCCCCCAAAGCCACCGAGAGGCCCGTAGGAAGGTCCAGGAGGCCTCACCAATGCTCCTCAGACGCCCCCGAGACCCCTCTGACGAGACCTCAAGAGGCACCCATTAGAACTTTGACCCGAAGCCAAAACACGGTGGCGGGAAGACCCGAAGGCCACACCACCATCACCACCACAAACCACCACACCACCACCACCACCAGAGCCACCACCACCACCACCACAACCACCACAACCCACCACCATAACAACCATCACCATCCCCACAAACCATTACACCACCACCACCGCCAAAAACGCCACCACCACCACCGCACCACAAACCACCACAACCCACCACAAAAACCACCACAAAAACCACCACAACCACCACCACAAACCACCACACCACCACCACCACCATCACCACCACCGCCACCACCACCACCACCCAAACCCACCACCACAACCACCACAAACCACCACACCACCATCACCACCACCACAACCACCACCACCACCACCCACCCACCCACCCACCCACCCATCCACCTACCACCCACCACCAGCACCAGCACCAGCACCACCAGCACCACGTCCACCACCAACGCCACAGCCCACAACCACCACCACAAATCACCACGTCACCACCATCACCACCGCCACCGCCACCACCACCACCACCTCAACCCACCACACCACCACCAAACCACCACACCACCACCATCCACCACCACAACCACAGCCACCACCACCACCACCACAACTACAACAATCCACCACCACCACAACAACCCACCACCACTACTACCACCACCACCACCACCACAATCTACCACACCACCACCACCACCACGACCGCCACAACCACCGCCACCACCACCAGCACCACAACCCACCACCATCACCACCCCCACCACCACAAACCAACACACCAACACCACCACAAACCACCACACAACCACCACACAACCATCACCGCAAACCACCACACCAGCACCAGCACCAGCACCACCACCGTCACAACCACCACCTCACCACCAGAACAACCTACCACCACCACCACCACCACCACAAACCACCACACCACATCACCACCACTACCGCCACCATCACCACCACCACCACCATCTCGACAACTCACCACCACCACCGCCACCACCACCACAAACCACCACACAACAGCCACCACCACCACCGCCACCACCCCCACCACCACAACACACCACCACCGCCACAACCACCAAAACCACAAACCACCACCACACCACCACCACCACAACAAACCACCACACAACCACCACTACAACAACCACCACCGCCACCACCACCACCACAACCCACCACCACCACAACCACTACCACCACCACAACCGCCACGACAAACAACCACACGACCACCACCACCACCGCCACCACTATCATCACCACCACCACAACCTGCCACCGCAACCACCACAACAAGCACCACCACCACCACCATCACCACCACCAACCACCACACCACCACCACCACCACCACCACCACCACCACCGCCGCAACCACCACCACCACCACCACCACCACAGCCCACCACCACCACCACCACCACCACCACCACCTCTGAGAGGCCCGAAAAGACGCCCAAGAGGTGCCCAGGAGGCTTCACAAATGCCCTTCAGAGGCCCCCGAGAGCCCTCCGACGAGACCCAGGAGGCGTCCATTAGGACTCTGACCCGAAACCTAGGCACGGTGGCAGAGCGTCGTCGTCGTCGTCGGCATCGTCGTCGCCGTCGTCCTCGTCGATGCTCCCCTGCGTCGCCGCCAGCCGCAGCAGGCGCCGGCGCCGGCCCAGAAATAGAAAACCTCGTCGTCATCGACGCTCCCCGCCGCCGCCGCCAGCCGCCGCCGACGCCTGCGCCGCCGGCCCGAGGAGAGCGAGAGAATGGGGGGGGGTTCGAACCCACCCCCCTCTCCGTCACGGGAAAGGGGGGGCGGGAGGGAGCTCGAACCCCCCCCCCTTCAATGCAGGCGGGGGGGTCCAGTTCAAAACCGAGGCCCCCCCTCAAGCGCCCACAGCACGCGCTCTTTCGTACATGCACACGTTTTTGGCGTCGTGGCCCTGCGCGCGGCGACAGGGCGGAGAAAGTCGTAAAGCAGCGACTGTGCGTGCGCGAGTAGGAACGTCCGACCCCTCTGAGACCGCTGGGGTCCCGCAGCGGCTGGCAGCCATAAGCCATCTTGGCGTAGATGACGGTGGGAGCGATGGAAAAACAAGACTGCGGCGCGGTGGAAGGACGTGGAAGGTGCCATGAGCCATCCAAGACTGAATGGCGGGGGAAGCGATCAAGCAGCGTGGGGCGACAAGGAGGCCAAGACTGACCTGGAAGCCCAAAAGGGCGGGGGGGGGGGGCACAACCTACGGTGCGCGGGTGCCAAGTTCGACAGGCGAACCAAGAAATTTCTCGAGGCGAAGGAGGAAAATCCTAGAAGCGAGCGAGGATTTGTTTCCTCCCGAACCCGAACCAGTATCTTTTTTGGGGGTCCAACGAGGAACGAGAGCGAACGCGATCGAGGCGAATTAAGACATTTTCTGGGTGGAGCGGGGACATTGACAAACGCGCCCCAGGAAAAAACAGGAAGTCTGCTGAGCGAGAAAACGCCGACGACACCACCTCGCAACCCATCCAGCCCGTCGACCAACGGAAAATCCGCCGAGCAAACCCAATGTAGAGCCTTCAAGTCGGAAGTGGGTGGAGTGCCGGAAGGACAGGATGGAGGAGGAGGAGGAGGAGGAGGAGGAGGAGGAGGAGGAGGAGGAGGAGGAGGCGGAGGAGCAGCAGCAGCACAGGTACGAAGAGCAGGTGAAGACAGGAAGGGGAAGCTGGAGCAGGAGGAGGGGGGGGGGAGGATGGACGGTCATCAGTTTTGTGCACCGAACGGCAGTGGGACAGGCGCCAGGGCCCCACTCCACGGAGCTGGGTCCGCGGCCCGCTCCGTGGTGGCAAATCCCGCCCTTTCCTTGTAGAGACCCTGGGGAGGCCTCTGGGAGCCCCCCCCCGACCTGACCGTTGCTTCTCGTCTTGCTCTGAGCAAGTCCTCTGCCCCTTCCCTGCCGAGAGCGAACCTTACATAGGGTCCGTTCCACAGATGCCCCAGGGCTCGTTCCACGGAGCCCCGGGGCTCGTTCCACGGAGAGCCCACGGTCGAGACACTTTTTTGGTCGGCGGGGCGAGAGCGAACCTCTTCCGCTAAAAGCCAGGCGGGCTACGCACAGCTTTAATTAGGGAGACAGGGCACAGGCGGGCGGAGCATCAGGCGGCCGGAGTGGGCGGGGCCCGCCCACGGTCGAGACA